TGGCCCTTACAATGAGGGGCTCGCGGTTGATGTCGTGCAGGTCCAGGGACAGCACGTAGTCCTTGCTGCCCACGTACATGCGGTCGTGGTCCTCGTCCTTGAGCAGGATGCGGTAGTCCGTGGTGTTGAGCAGGAAGTTGAAGAAGTGGGCAGTGCCCGTGGCCTTCAGCTCTGTGGGCGGGGGCAGGGCAGCAGTTAGGGCCCTGGAGACCATCCAGTCACACGCCCCTTGGCAGAGGGGGTCCCCCACCACTCGGTCATCTTCATCCCCGGCCTCGCCTCCAGGGAGGACTTAGCTTCCTCTCTAGTCCCTGACTTTATATATATATTTTTTATTGATTTCAGAGAGGAAGGGAGAGGGAGAGGGAGAGAAACATCAATGATGAGAGAGAAGCATTGATGGGCTGCCTCCTACACGCTCCACACCGGGGATCGAGCCCGCAACCCGGGCATGTGCCCTGACTGGGAATCAGACTGTGACTTCCTGGTTCATAGGGCGATGTTCAACCACTGAGCCACACCAGCCGGGATCTAGTTATTTAGTTCAGTGGTCGGCAAACTGCGGCTCGCGAGCCACATGCGGCTCTTTGGCCCCTCGAGTGGCTCTTTCACAAAATACCGACTTCTGCACATGGGCCACGAAGTTTCAATCGCACTGTAGGTGCGCGCCCGCACGTGGTATTTTGTGGAAGAGCCACACTCAAGGGGCCAAAGAGCCGCATGTGGCTCGCAAGCCGCGGTTTGCCGACCACGGATCTAGTTGCTGACTTGCTGGGAGGAGAAAGGGACAGGTGGGTCAGCAGAGAGGGGCCACACCCAAAGCTGAAGCCCTGACTCCTTGGCAATCCCGAAGGCCTGGGCCCCAGTGAAAGGACAGTGGGCGGGAGCCAGCGAATGTGGCGGCATCAAAGCGTCTGCTCTGGTCGGGCTGATGCCAGGGCGGGGCCAGCGCCCGCAGGACCTCAAAGGGTTAATGAGCGGGCGGTGGGGGCAGGCGAGCTCAGGACAGCCCGCAGACGGCAGATGTTGGCACAGAGCCGGGTGCCCTGTCCTCACCACCAGACAGAGGGCAAAGCTAGCACTGTGTCTGAGTGGGTTAGCCAGGCCACGGGCACGCCCGACTGCGGCCACACTGCCCGATGGACGGGGCTTCCCCAGGCCACGGCTGCTAACGGTGGGATTCTCAGGCCGCTCTGAGCAGCCAGGAGCGCTTTCTCGGGAAAGAGGCCCCGGGACTGCGGCAGCCCCAGGCGGGGACAGGGGCCTCGGTTTCTCTCCTGCGTGAAGCTGGCAGCTTGGCCCTGCCTCCCCCAGGGAGCTGGGGGGGAGGACAGGAGGGAACTTGGCCAGTGACAGGCCAGTGGCACGCACAGGACTCAGGAAACTCCGGGAGGGAGAGAGCCAGGGGTCCCCTGGCAAGCACCCCTCCACTCCCCCAACTATTCTTAGCTCAGCAGGAGAGGGAAGGTGACGAGGATGATGAATATCACAGCACGGAGGCCTGAGCTGGCAGCACACGGAGCACATGCGTGTCCGCACGGGCCCAGGCACGCACAGTGCACACACGTCCTGCATCGAATGAGGCGTTCACCAGGGGCCATGCCAACCCGTCTCCCAGCTGCTAACCCATCTCACAGCTGGTTACCCGTCTCACAGCTGGTTAGTCATCTAACAGCTGGTTAGTCATCTCACAGGTGGTTATTCATCTCAAAGGTGGTTATTTATCTCGCAGGTGGTTATTCATCTCAAAGGTGGTTACCCATCTCACAGCTGGTTAGTCATCTCACAGGTGGTTACCCATCTCACAGGTGGTTAGTAATCTCACAGGTGGTTACCCATCTCACAGGTGGTTATTTATCTCGCAGGTGGTTACCTGTCTCACAGCTGCTAACCCATCTCACAGGTGGTTACCCATCTTACAGGTGGTTACCCATCTCACAGGTGGCTACCCGTCTCAGATCTAGGAACCCATCTCACAGGTGGGACAATCAAGTGGGAGGCCTGGAGAGGGAGGACAGCTGGGACCCAAGGCCCTAAAGGGCTGCCGGAGGTGGGACCAGCAGGTGGCCCCATCCCATCAGTCAAGGTCACCTTCAGGCAGCTGCCTGGAATGGCCTGGCTGCCCTGACCCCTGCTGAGTGCTGGGAGCAGCGCTGGAGGGGCCGTGGCTGAGGGCAGCCTTGGACAGAGCTCCCGGATGTGCTGGGAGGGGCTTGAGGAGGGACGGCGGCCAGGGGACTCCCTCAGCCGACCCAGAGCCCACATCTGAGGGCTGAGGGCAGGCAGAGGCCTTGCCTGTCCAGCCTGACGGTGCGGCGACAAGGGAATACAGGTGATGACCTCGGCCAACCTCTGGGACGCAGGGACGCCGAGGGATCAAAGGGCCGATCCCGGCCTGGCTGCGGCCTCGCCCGCCGGTCCGGCGGCGCCTCTGAAGTCCTGGGCAGGGCAGCCTGGGCACCTGTCCTGCACCTGTTGTCGGGCCACTTGGAGTCCCCCGCCTGGCCACCCAGCCATAGTGACAACAGGAAAGTAAACACTCCCCCACCCCCAGAGCCAGGAAGTGGCCAGAGAGGAAGTGGGGCTGCCAGCAGAGCCCCCCCAGCTGGGACAGCCCGCCAGGGCTATTTATACCCTGGCTGGGGGCATGGCTGTGCCCATCCCTGTCCTGCTGGGACAGGGGGTGTTTGGGGGACAATGGAGGGGAGGGAGGCACAGGCTCAAGCTGGCACCTTCAGACACACACACTGGGAGTGGGGGGAGCTCCAAACATTTAGACCCAGGGACGCAACCAGCCACAATCCCGCCACCGCTGCCCAGCTCTGGGCCTCCAGGATCCAGGCCCTCCCCCTCGGCCCTTCGGCCCCTCGGCCCTGCTGTGGTTCCCCATGCCCGAGCCCCAAGTCCAAGCCCCCCCCTGGCTCAAAGCCCCAGCACTCCGGGCCCCACCCCTGTCTGTGAGGGGGGGGAGACCCCTCACCCAGCGATGATGAAACTGACACAGGCGGGCGCGGGAGACTAGCCTTGATCTGACATCTGCCTCTCAACTCAATTCACAGACGAGGACGGAAGGCGGAGACAGGAAGGTGACAGCCAGAGGGCATGGAAGGCGGGCGTCCCATCGAGGCCACGGCCCTTTGGACAGGAGGAGGGTGGCCCGGCCAAGCCAGCCCTGGGGGGGGGACAGGACTGCCCAGGGGACAGCCAGGGCCGGAAGGTGACTGTCCTCCATCAACAGGGCACATGACTCAGGACCCTGGGAGGCTCCCAGCGGCCACGGGATGTGGCGTCAATGGCTCTGTTGTCACAGGACGCGATGTTTCGGGGCCTGGAAACTGTGGGGAGGCCTGTGGGTGGGGCAGGGGCGGACACAGGGTCAGGGACCTGGTCTGATGTGGCTTCGTGACCACGGCCAGGCTCTGCTGAGCCTCAGGTTCCCACCACACCGTCTCCTGGGCGTTCCTAGCACGACATTCAGGGGCCCTGGGGACAGGAAATGCTAGCGCTGAGCATCCCCCCCCCGCCTTCTGGACCATCTCTGCCTGGGGGGGGGGGGGCGGGCAGGTCCTTCCCCATGGAAGCGGCCTCCTGGGGTCACCATCTACCCTGCCCGTCCCTGCCCCCCACATCCTAGTGCTGGGGTGGGGAGTGCAGAGGGCAAGGGGTTCCTGCTGACGCAGCCCCGCTCTCCCTAACTCCAACCTGGCTCTCCCCGGTCCGACCCACAGGAGCAGAGCAACACCCCAAACCACCCATCGGCAGCAGCCACCTGAGGGAGACAGGGAGAGGGCGGGAGTTTCCCAGAACCC